TGCTGCTGGGCCATCAAAGTTCTGCCAATCACAGACGTAGCTGAGAACACAGTGAACTATACTTTGGCTCTTCTAGGGCTTTGTGCACAATCATCAGTATGACCCCTTTAAGGATGAGTTTAGACTCTACACCCACATTGAGGAGCTCAAGACATAGCTTGTCAAACTTCTTTGGAATAAGCTTATTTAATATGCCTCTTACTTTCCTGAAGATTGCATCATGTCGTTCTTTTTCATTTGCGGAGTTGTTTGCTACAGAGTTGTCATCTCACCTAGTACTTTGTGCAGGAATCCATTTCTGAGCATTTTGCCCTGGGGTTTTCCCCAGGAACTCGCTGTTGCCAGCAGTTTTGGGATAGTGCTGAGGTGCACCCTTACTTCCTCCTCCGCCTGAAGCACTGAAACGAGAAGCACCCCCTTCTGCAACTGCACTCTCCACTTTGGCGGCTTGACTACGAAGAGTCTTCAAAAGACTAATATGAAAGGATGGGGTGGGAAGGGGAGGGGATGGCAGAAATGAAAAACCTTCACTGAAAACTCTGCAGCTGCCCCTGCAGCTGCCTCCTCATGTTCTGGTCGTCGGGGATTGGAAGTATACACGACACATCTTAGTTCTTTTTATATTTCCTCTCTCCCCAGTCCTTTCCACTTTGGGTGCCTTTTTATTTTTCTTGCCTATTGCTGTCTAGATCCTCAAAACCTGTGTTGAATGTAAGCTTTCAGTCTCTCACTCTGGATTTTTTTTTTTTTTTTTGCTACCAGGGATCGAACTCGGGTCCTTGCGCTTGGACAGCAGGTGACGAAACCACTGAGCTAAATCTCCGGCCCTCACTCTGGATTTTTTATATTTGGTTTTTTATTACATTGAGGTAGTTCCCTATTTCTCTGTGTTGATTTATCATGTGCTGTGCATTATTGTAAAAGTGTTTAATTCTGTTAAATGCTTTTTCAATTGAGAGGATCGTGTGTTTTATTTTTTTAAATAAACCTGGTATTTTAATCTGGTATTTTATATTCATTTTCTTATGTTGAAGCACCCTGTGTTTCAGGAATAAATATTCCTGATCGGGCATGCTATCATTTTTTTTTTTTCTCCTTGTGATACTGGGGATGATTTAACCCAGGGCCTTCACACTAAGCTACAGCCCAACTCTTTTTTTTTTTTTTCCTTTGAAACAGAGTCTCACTAAATCACTAAGTTGACAGGAATAAATATTCCTGATCGGGCATGCTATCATTTTTTTTTTTTCTCCTTGTGATACTGGGGATGATTTAACCCAGGGCCTTCACACTAAGCTACAGCCCAACTCTTTTTTTTTTTTTTTCCTTTGAAACAGAGTCTCACTAAATCACTAAGTTGACAGGCTGGGGTCGAGCTTGCAATCCTTCTGTCAGCTTCTGAGAGTCCTGGGCTTACAGGCATGCACTGTCATGCCTGGCCTTAGTATTTCTTGAAAAGCAATTCTAGGCTTTTCAACACTCCCTTGGCTTTTTTTTCTTGGTACTGGGGATTGAACTTGGGTCCTTGCACTTGTGAGGCAGGTGGTGGAACCACTGAGGAAAATCCCTGGCCCTCCTTGGTTTTTATTTATCCAAGAATATCTTAATTTCTCTCTCAAAAGTTGGACAATTTTTCTGAATATAGAAGTTTTATCTTTTAGCACTTTGAATATATCAACCCACTGCCTTTTAATCTCCAGGGTTTCTGTTTCTGTGCACACGCGCACGCGCGCGCGCACACACACACACACCTGCTAATAACACTGGCAAGGAGCCCTTACATATGATGCTACTTCTCTTTTTGTTTTGTTCTTGGTTGTTTTATGGTGCTAGGGATCAAACTCTGGACCTTATATATGCTAGGCAATTGCTCTTACAGTGAGCTATACCTGCTTTTAAGATTCTCTTTCTTGTGTTGGCCTTTGACATTCTGACAATAAGTGCCATGTGCTTGTCTTTGATTTTGTCTTACTTGGATTTTGAGTTTCCTCCATGTTCATATTCATGTATTTCATCAAATTGGAAACTTAGGCATTATCTCTTCTCTCAACCCTTCAGCTCTGTCACTCCAACAATGCATACATTGGTTTGCTTAACAGTGTCCTAAAGTCTCATAATGAGGCAGAAATTCCGAAAAAAAAAAAAAAAAAGGCTTTGCTCCAAGAATCTGCCTGACCTTATGTGACTCTCCTCCTGACACCCCCTCTTCCTCAGGAATGTGACCCCATGTCCTTCCCAACTGACAGAAGAGATGGCCTAAGCAGTCCATCTCTGCACATCTCCTTTGAGGAAAGAGCATCCTGTCCAGTGACTGATACAATTCACAGATAAAGGCTGTGAATTAGTTTTATTACATCGTGGGATCCTGGGAACATAGGGCATATTTTCTCTTCAAGGCTAAGAAAGTGACTCAGGACTAATTGCCTTTGTTTCTTGTTTCTCTAACTTTCTTGCTATGCACCAAAGATTGTATATAAAGGACCCTCTTGCCTTTGTGCTTTTGCTCAACCACTTGGACAGAGTCCACTGAGCCCGTGTATACACCTTAAATAAAATCCTCCTGACTCCCATTTGGTCTTTGTCTCTTGGAATTCTGCAACAATAGGTCTTGTTTACTTTTCTGTTCCTCAAAGTGGATCATTTCAAGTTGTCTCCAAGTTTATTGATTTGTATGCCTACTCAAACATACTTTGGAATTCCACTATCGTATTTACTTACTGTACTTTTCAGCTTTAGGATTTGTTTTGTACATGCAGCTTTGTCTTGACTTTGTTCACATCATCTTTGAGCATCTTTAAGACAGTGTTTTAGAGTATTTGTCTATTAAGTCTAACATCTGGCCTGTTTCTATTGATTTACATTTTCTTCTTTTCCTGTTTCTTTATATACCTTAATTTTTGTTGTTGAAAGCTGAATGTATGAATTTTATAAATGTGGTATCTCTGGAGAATTCTTTCTCAGGATTTGCTTGATTTTACATTTTTTTCTTTCATTTTTTTTTTGGTACCGGGGATCAAACTCAGGTCCTCGTGCTTGTGCAGCAGGCAACGAAACCACTGAGCTAAATCCCCAGCCCTCATTCTTATTTTTTAAATCATTGTAGTGTTTCTGGGTCAAAGATCAGTCTGAGATGTAAATGTAGGTCTTTTGGGGTCATTTCTTAACCTGTGCCTTTCCCTGAGCATGTGTACTGGCCTTCTGAACTTTCTTAGCAGGATGGGCTCTAAGAACTTTCAATCTCTATTCCTGAAAGCAAGCTTAGGGATAATTCTTGAAAATGGGTAACAACCCTCTTTCCCATTTTGTAGACATCGAGTCCAGAGGAATGAGCATCCCAAAGTATGGACTCCAGATATGGAAGGGATGATATTAAATGTCACTTCTTACCTGCTCAGGTACCTGAAAGGATTGTGCTCTTAAAAAGTGGAGCCTGAAGAATAGGGATGTAGCTCCATGATCAAGAATTTTCCAGCATGTTCGAGGGCCTAGGAAAGAGCCTAAGAGCTAAAAAGAGGACTGGATGGGAAAGGGAGGTGGTGTCTCAAGAGACAGAGGCAGGAGGCTAGGACATACTGTATAGCACCCAGGCACTGAGTGGCCGGTGAAAATGCAAAGGCAACACAGGGTTAGATTAGGCATGTCTTCTCAGAAAGAGCCTGGGAGAAGTGCTGCAGCATCACCTGCAGTCTCCAACTGGGGTAGCGTGCAGGGGTGGTATCTGGAGGCAGCCGTGGTGTGCATGGAGTGAAGCCTCCCACAAGTATAGGCTGGGTGTGCAGTGTGGGGCACACGAGACAAGGGAAGGACAAATTCAAACAGCATCTTGGGAGTTTATCAGAAAACCATTTCCAGGCATTGGAAGTGACTGGTCAGAAAGCACAACCCTATGACCTGCAGTTCCCATCCTAGTTTCACACACCAGTGAGCTGGGGCATGACCCGTTCGTTAGTTGTGAAATTAATCTAAGGGAACAAGTAATTCTTTTAGTAGAACACAGTAGAAAAGAAAGTATCAAAAACACATTAGGTCATCAGGACTAAGTGCTATCTCATGAAACAAGAAAATGGTGTGAAACTGCTGGGGAAACAAGCTTGCACCTCTCACACACTCCCTATCCCTACCTCACGTTCTCCCTCTAGACACCCACTCGGCTCCTCTCTTAAGGTAGCCTCCTCAGTGAGCTATTTTCTTCCCTCTCTAAAACCAAGCCATCCCTCTGCCCATTTCTCCTGTTCTTTATAGCACAAACACCACCATGTCTTTTGTAAATGTACTTTATTTTGTGTTGGTCAACGGCTGACTGAATAAACTGTAGTGCAAGGAAGCTGGGTGTGATGGCACTTGCCTGAAATCCTAGCACTCAAAAGGCTAAAGCTCGAGGAAGGGTTCATGGCCAGTCTGGGATACAGTGAGTTCAAGGCTGGCCTAGATTACACAGTGAGAGTCTCAAAACACACACACACACACACACACACACACACACAACCACGCACGTGCACACACAGTGCATTTTTTCTTTTCTTTTCTCAGTGCATTTTCTTGATATGTCTCCTGGCATGGTAATTTCCCAGTAAGAGTACTTGAGGTTAGGTTCTTCCTGGTTTGTGGGGAACAAATGACTACTCCTGTATTCACACCAATGCAGGCCAGGAAGAAACATACTGGGTAAATGTCTACTTTGTGATCAGGACAGGTTCTACTATTAGGAAATGCTGAAAGCTGCATCAAGGAGAATTGTAATAGCCACAACATGTCTGAGTACATGGTCATAATGCCACATCAAATCAATATGGTGCCCTGATCAGATACTCAGCTGTTTACTTGGAAGAAGGCAGGACTGCTTATTTCATAAACAAGGAACTTCACAAAGAGATATTTGAATAATGCAACTTAAATGCTTGCTTCACGTATCTCCCTAAGGACAGTGTACTTGGTACAAGGCTTGGTTCCACAGGGAATTTACTTATGCTACTATGGAAGTATGACAACAGAGACATAGCTTTCACCTAATGTAATAACTTTATTTCTCATACTGAGCCTTTTAGAGGAATTTACAGAAATTAAAAACACCATGCTGTTTACTTTACATTTTTTCCACCCAGTCTCCCTCCACCCTTCACTGTGCCCACCTGGGCTCACCTGAAATGCATCTGCTTGGGATCTTCACAGGGAGGCATTAGCAATTTGGTGGACAGTTCTGGGAGTGACAAAATCTTGATGACAGCAGCTCTCACAGGGCTCTGTTTCCATCTTTGTCCTGAGGACTCAGAATTGAAATGCCTTCCTGCAGACACTATATTCTAGGTGTTTCAATTATTTGTTTCTGGACCACACCATGGTAGTTAAGTCTGCCAGTAAAATCTATTTAGTTTTTTCTTTTTTTCCTACTGTATAGGCCCTATACAAACATCCATCCCTGTATCAACCTGTGGAAATAAACAGTTTTCCCCTACAACCACTGTACATAACATCAACACTTAGAAAGTATTCCTATAGATCAGCTGGAATGCCTTCAGGTCTAAGTATCAGAAAGTCCAAAGAATAAGTAAGAAAGTTATTATCACCGGTAATACAAGGTCCCAGAAGAGAGCTGGTGGAATTGAGTAGCTCAGTGACATCACGTCAGGGCCCACTTCTCCTACCTTGTGCACTGTCCTCTTCAGGGTGGTGTTCAACAGGGCCACAAACTATCATCCATGTCACACAGACATGAGAAAGTCCTGTTAAGAGGATTCTTCTCATGCCTTTCAGATCTCCTATCATTACTTTATAACTGACATCTTTCCCAGAAGTACTGCAGAGTATCTATCCCAAAACAACTCATTGCTCACATGTTCCCCCTGGATCTACCCTCAAGTCATCTAGGGTAAGATGGACAAACAGGACAGCTCAGCAAGGAAGCAGCAGGTGCGCAGAGCCTCTTGGAACCCTTACCAATGTGTTCCCAGAGAACACAGGAACAGGACAAGAGAGGAAGAGACACAAGATAACACTATTTTCTAAGTACAAGCACAGATTTCCTGAGCTACACAGAACTAAGGTTACCGAAATCATGCCTGAAATGAGCCACAGTGAGATGCCAGAATATGAAAGAGGCATCTCATTACATAACACCATTTTTCATTTGTAGAGTCCAGTATAACTGTTCATAACTGATGTTAACCTTTGCATAATTGTGTAAACATCATTCTTATTAACAGCATTTGTATGACTGACCCAGAGACAGATGAAAAAACTCAGAAAAATTCTGTTTAACTTCTTCACCAAAGGGGAAGTTTGATAATACTGGCCATATTCAGATATGCCAGGAAACAGGCAAAAGTAGGTGACATGGTTCTTTGTAAAAACAGTACTTCACTTAAAACATATACTGGCCAACCTATATAGAGACTGGTAGCATTTAGAATTGCACTGGTTGAGAGGTAGTTAAAAACCTCACAAAAACATCTTTTGGCTTTACTGAAGAGACAGTTCAGTAATAACGGCCATAGTCATTTATTTTTTCAGGAAATAAAAAAAGTGGGTGTGTGGTTTATACTTTAAATATGCCAAGTATCTTTTCATATATACAAATAGGTATGCTTGTCAATATGTGATAACAGTTCTCTAAGAAAAGAAAAATCTTGAAATACAGAGTTTTCCAATTTCCACAGTATAAATATTCTGATTAAGGTGAAGCTACCAGCATATGGTGTTGGGAAGATACATGCAGTAGCACGCGATCATTAGAGTATTCTCACTAATTTAAGTAATCTAAACCACAAGATAACAGTGAAATATAGTGAAACTATTAGGAAGTGATGAATATTACCTTTTGAATATAACTCTAAATTTATACATTTTAAAATAATGACGATATTTAACAATTGGCTTACAATATTCCTGAAAACTTAACAATCAGCAGTACTTGTAAGTCAGTATGAGATGATATGAAGATATCACTGTATATGTAGGTATATATGAACAAATATATTTACATACATGTACAAATATAGACACATTCATATATATGTACACACATACATAATCCTAAGAACAGAGACACTGGTGGGATTTAGGTGCAAAATATTAATATACATCATAAGTTACTAAACTAAGGGTTCATGGGCTCCAGCATACCAATCAAGTATACCCCAAATTTCTTTTCTTTTTTTTGATACCAGGGATCAAACTTGGGACCTTGTGTCTGCGAGGCAGGCAGTGGAACCACTGAGCTAAATCCCCAGCCCCCAAATTTCTGTTACATTAGCATACTCACTTGAGGCCTACAAACATCAGGGCCTCTTCACATATATGTTTAACGTTACTGTTATTCAATTGTTTTAAGCTTCAGATTCCACTGAGAATATGGGTAAAATGAATATTGCCTAATATATATATGTATATAATATATACTGCCATATATATATATATATAAAATACAATTTTTGTATCACATCTGGCAGATGACGTAACAAATTTTGAAAGATTTTTTTACAATATTACTTAAATGAATAACTTCAGTACAAATTTTCCAAAAAGTTATTTTTCTTGAAAGCTTTCACATATTTAAATGAGATGTCACTTTCTAATACTTTGTGGCATTCTTTGGCTTTTGCTCTCATTTTAAATACTGTACAGTAAATCTGACAGGTGTTTGAAGCCTTCTTAACACTCAGGATGTAGGAAGCGCTTTCACCCTTGTGTGTATTCTCTGATGTTTAGTGAGTACTGACCTCTGACTAAAGGTCTTCCCACATGCATTACATTCATAGGGCTTCTCACCTGTGTGAGTTCTCTGATGTTTAGTAAGAGCTGATTTTTCACAGAAGGTCTTCCCACATTCATTACACTTATAGGGTTTCTCCCCTGTGTGAGTTCTTTGATGTACAATGAGGTTTGACTTCACACAAAAGGACTTCCCACATTCATTACATATAAAGGGCTTCTCCCCTGTGTGTGTCCTCTGATGGACAGTCAGGGCTGATCTATGGCAGAAGGATTTCCCACATGCACTACACTCATAGGGTTTCTCTCCCGTGTGTGTCCTCTGGTGTTCAGTGAGGTTTGACTTCACACAGAACATTTTTCCACACTGCTTACAGGCATAGGGTTTCTCTCCTGTATGTGTTCGCTGATGGTTGGTAAGGTGTGGTTTCTGGCAGAAGGCTTTCCCACATTCAGAGCATTCATAGGGCTTCTCTCCTGTGTGTGTTCTCTGATGCTGGGTGAGGTTTGACTTCTCCCAGAAAGTTTTGCCACATTCACCACATTCAAAGGTTTTTTCTCCTGAGTGACCTCTCCGAGATTGGGTTAGATGTGCCTTCTTGCTGAAATTATTCCCATTTTCATGGTACTCATACGGTTTTTCCCCTGAGTGTACTATCTGATGTTTAAAGAGGGTTGACTTTCCCCACATTTTGTCATTCACTTTATATTCTTGGGGAATCTTCCTTGTGTAAGCTCCCTGATGGGTAATGAAAGTTGAGTTGTCACAGATTTCCCCATATTCATTGTATTCATAAGGACTGACCCCTGTAATAGCTCTCTGATGTCCAATTTTTAAGTCCATATAAAAGGCTTTCCCACAGATACTGCATTCATGTGGCTCCATATCCAAAAAAGTTCTCTGAGATATATCAAGCTTTAAACTGTTGAACATTCTTCCACATCTGGCGTATCTACAGAGTGTTTCCTCTACTTGGGACTTCTGATTTGTAAAAAAGGTTGTTTTCTCATGGAAGCCTGGTCTGTTTTCATTATATTCAAAGGGTTCATAAAAATTTGGTTGAGTGAAATCCTGATGACTGAAGACATTCCTTTTTTGATCGTATCTGTAAGATTTCCTTCCAGTAGGAATTTTTTCATGCCTAATATCAAAGAGTAATTTCTCACATATATTAAAGTCATCAGACTTCTTTTTGGAATAGTTTTTATTAATAATTAAGCCTGAAATATTTTTCAAACTTATTTCACATGAGTCACATACTTTGAAGGGAAAATTTCTTGAGGAAATTGTGTTTGTGTCCAGACTGAAAATTTTCCGAACTCTGTCACCATTTTCCACACTTACTGTTTTGTTGCTGGTGAATATGAGCTGCCAAAAATGTTCACCTTGATTTTCCTGGCTGCTCTCTAATAGGTCATCAGCTTTCCATTTCCTTTCTAGAAATGAACAAAATAACCACATCTTATGAATATTAATGCTTTCTGGTGAATTCTGACTTTATACAAATACCCTTTACTATTGTCAATTCCTTTGTCAGACTAGGTTTCCTGGAGCGAACTGAATCTATTTCTTTTTCCCTCCAGTTTGAATGGAAAACACAAACATACTGTTGTGGAAGTAAGGAGCTGAAGCTGGCAATGACACTCAATACTACATAAATATAATCTTCAAAAGTGGATATGAAGAAAGAGAAATCAAATACACAACACAGACAATAGAATAACTGAATAAAAAATAGGGAAACTTGAAGACAATAAGGTGAACCTAAAAGAGACAAAGGGAAGGTGAAGACAAGCAGCCCAGGGGTTTCAGAGAATGATCTCTGGTGGGCAGAGATAGAATATAGTCTTGACCCTTTAGGCATGGAACATGGGTGTAGACTCCCACCCCTAACCAAGCATGATTTCTATTTTGCACATCAACACCAAATTAAGTTCTGTAAACACCAATTTCTCCAGGTTCAAAAGAATACTCTGATAGCCGAGGATCTAATTCAATTTTACTGACAAGGTTGATTTTTCTAAAATGCCGTGGAAAAGGATGCTGGAGGTTAAATGAACTCCAACAGACATAATGAACAGGGATGAAGTTTGGAGTTGTTCATTCAAAGAACAGGAAATTCACAGAGAATTAGATGAGTTGTTTTTAAATAAACAGTGTTAGAAAAATGAAACTGAGGAAGAATTCAGTTTGACAGAGGAAGAGTATGGTTTATACCCTTATCTGCATACAGCTTATTATACTACTACTGTGCATGTCTACTCCTATACCTAGATATTTTAAGTTTGCTTATTTCTAGGTTTTTATTTTATAACTAGGTTTTATGTTTTAAAATTTAGCCTCATCTCTGGCTTTTATTTACATTTGGGACCTGTAAGAATCATTTTTTCTGTATATGTACTCAGACCTTCAGTACACTTTATCACAAAAATTTCTGGCTATTCTTCACTGTTGCTATCCTGCAGCAACGTTAATCACATTTGCTGGGTGTTGTGGCACAGATCTATAATCCTAGCTACTCGTGAGGCTGAAGCACAAGGATTCCAAGTTTGAGGCCAGCCTAGCAACTTAGCAAGACCCTGTCTCAAAACAAAAAAGGAGTGGGGATGTAGCTCAGTGGCAGAGTTAAGTATGAAGCCCTGGGTTCAGTAAACACACACACACACACACACACACACACACACACACACACACACAACTATGGCAGGGAATCCCTGAGTCTACTGCTCCAAAGACCAACAGATAGAAGTTGTCATCCCGGCAAAACCAAATTGAAACAAACAAAAAATACTTTATACTTATATATATTCATATTAAAAAAATACACCAACTGATTCACATTAAAGTGTTCAATATTTCATAAATCCATTACAAATATCTATATAGCTACAGCTAGTTATCAAACTCTTCTAAATTTCTCACTAACAACATACCTTGCACTCAACTAGAACCATTCTAGCCTTGGTTTTCCTGGGAACTTGGACCTCCTTCAGTGAAATACTACTTTCTTTAATTAAAAAAGCAACAATGATAATAACAGTAAAAGAATAAAAGCCAAAAATATAATAGCCCTACCATTCCAAGACTTCATGTGTTCTGTCATTTAGTAGTTATTGTTCATGTAACTAACATAAAACAAAGCCCTTGTTCAATGCTAAGCCTACTGTGACCACAGTTTAGATCATGGCACATATGACTAGTCTCATTTCCCTCTTCTTCTGAGGTGAAAATACAGTAGTGATTCTTAAAAAGCAATGTATATATAGATTATTTCCAACCTCTATCTAATGAGTTGTAGTTTCAGGGCAAAATATGGGAATGTGCATTTAGGAAGAGTACTACAGAATATTTTTTGAATGGATGAAAGAGTTTCTCCTAATCTTGGCTCCACAGGCAATAAATACTCTACTAAAATGTCAGAATTAGGAAAAGTAAAAGTGGTCCTTTTTGAAAGAATGAAATCTCAGTGGGGAAAGAAACTCTAAGCAATAGCCATATGATCATCTGACTATGGGGCTTATAGCCACCAGTGGATTACAGTCATAAAATATAGATTATTAACAGTAAAATATTGCTCTAATTTACATGGAACATAAGTTGGGTTTTTTTTTTTGTACCAGGAATCGAACTCAGATCCTTGTGCTTGCGCCGCAGGTGGCGAAACCACTAAGCTAAATCCCCGGCCCCACTGCTCTAATTTAAAACAATTAAAATTACAAGGCACTACCATGTACCACTATGTAATGTGCAAACACTTTACATATTCAGTATTAATTATCTGCAAAAAAGCAAAGTAAATTCTAGGTAAGAGAAAGCATGTATAAACACAATTTAAGATATAGGAGAATATGAAGTGAGTATAAATTATGGAGAGTAGAAAAAACAAATGTAAGACAGGTAGAAGAGAACCACATTACAACAGTCAATGAAAGGAGACTTTCATTTCGTTTTACAGATAACTCTGTCAGGTCAGTGAGAGATAAATTGAATGCTTTAAAACAATCAAAAAAGCCAGGGATTTAGCTCAGTGGCACCGCACCTGCCTGGAAAGCACAACGTCTTGCGTTTGATTCCCGGTATTGGAAAAAAAACAAACAAACAATGGATCCCAAAACAAACCAAAAAAACAACCAGTTAAGAATTACAGATAATCAGGAATGAAGGAACACAGATGCATCTTTGCTTCTAAGCATTATCTGTGAAGAGAAAGAATATGAAGAAATGTGGGCAGTTTTGAAAGACATGTAACTAGAGTATTATGAGGCTAGTAAGAGGTGATATCAGGTTTGTATAGGAACCACAGCAGGCACTCTGACTCCTGGGAAATGGGATTGCTGGCTTCTGTGTAGTTCAAGTTGTTCTTTCTCAATCTCTTCTACTACATGGATTTAACTCTTATAAAAAGTAGTACTATCCCAGGACTACTCTGACCTAGATACAACCAGGCTCTACAAAAGGGTGACAAACTATGACCATAGGCAATGGCCCTGCCACTAAGACTATCTTTCATGTTTTTAAAGGGAAAAGGTGGAAGAGATAGTAGGGAGGTGGGAGGAGAAGAGAACAGGGAGGAAGAGGGGAAAAAATAAGTAAACAGAGTATCAACAGCAGCAATGAGGACCACATGTGGCCCAAGAGGCCTAATGCATTTACTCTCTAGTTTTTTTTCCTTTTTGCAGTACTGCAGATTGAACCCTGGGCCTCACACTTATTAAGTAAGTACTCTAGCACTGAGCTACATCCCCAGCCCTTTTTTAGACAGTCTCACTAAGTCGCCCAGGGTGTCCTTGAATTTGTGATCCTCTTGCTTCAGTGTTCAGAATTGCTAGGATCAAAGATGTGCCAGGGCTGGGGATTTAGCTCAGTGGTTCTGCTGCCTGCCTCGCAAGTGCAGGGTTCTGAGTTCGATGGTACCAAAAAAAAAAAAAAAAAGTGCCACCTCATCTGGCTACTATCTGGCCTTTTACAAAGTCTATCCCTGTATCTTTAACAGCTCCTGAGGCTGCAGCCTTTCCAAGGGATGTGTCTTATTCTGGCCTCAGTCACGAATTCCATACTTAGACATATCTAACCTCCCAGCCAATACAAGATTAGATCCTAACACTTATCTACAACCTCTGTCCAATACTAAATCTACCATCCTATCATGTCTCCTCTATAATTTTCTCTATCTCAGAAATGGCACCTAATTTATCCAACTACTTGAGACAAATCATTGGACTATTCTTGACCCTTTCTCTCCCTATATATATATATTTTTTGGTACCGGGGATTGAACTTGGGTCCTTGCACTTGCGCAGCATCTCTCCCCATACTCTTTATTCAACAGCAATTCCTCATGGGCCGATATTCAAGCATCTGTACAAACCTACATCTTCTCAGGACCTCTGCAGTCAGAACCAATACCCTCTCCTAATTTCTATTCTTTCTTTGGTCAGGTCCACCCAATAGAGTACAGTTACCACAGAGAAGTCACAGATATCCTTTTAAACTATAAATCAGATCTGATGACTGAATCTGATATTTACCCAAAAAGGGGGGGGGGTTTCTAATCATATCCCTCAAAATAAAATTACTGTATCTACCATGTCCCATGCTGCTGCTACTTCCATTACCACCAAGCAGCTTCCTCCATGCCCAGTAACTTCTGGCCTCACCTGTCTCCCTAACACTGCTCAGTCTAAGAACACATCTGCCTGAGAGATCTGACCCTCAATGTGCTCTGTTCCTAGAGTACTCTTGATCCACACACCTCACACTCACTTTGTCAAAGGTTTGTGTCTAATGTGGACCTCATCAAAAAGTCTTCTCTGGGGCCGGGGATTTAGCTCAGTGGTTCTGTCGCCTGCCTTGCAAGCGCAAGGTCCCCAGTTCGATCCCCAGTACCAAAAAAAAAAAGTCTTCTCTGACCCCATGGCTAAAGGACATTCTCTCATGCACTTACCTTTCCTCATATTAAATTCTTTACAATACTTTTCATCACCCAAGAGTGTGTCTGCAGGTACACATGCGCACATATACATAAATAGATACATATATGCCTGTGTTTGTTGCTCAATGTCATATACATTCCATGATACCAGAGACATTATTCTGTTCATTACTTAAAACATATCTGGGCCACCATGACTATTCATCCTCATATATTTGTTAAATGGATTTATGGAAGCAGCACATGAATTTATAGTGTATATGGCAGGTAACAAAAGGTATTCTAAGAAAACAGAAGGTGAACAATTTTGAAAGATAAAGAAAATCTAAGAAGGAAAAATATCTAGGATAAGGCCAACTGACTTTAGATTGTGGGTACAAGTCACTCTAAAGTGTCAAAGAAAGAAAAGCATTTATGAGTGCGAGTGACTAAGGTAACAGGACAATCAAGCGTGGTGGCACATGCCTGTAATCCCAGCACTCTGGGAGGCTGAGGAAGGAGGATTTCAAGCCAGAGCCAGCCTGAGCAAATCTGGCAACTCAGCAAGATCCTTTCACCAAAAACAAACAAAAAAGAGCTGGGGAAATAACAGCTCTGGCTTTAAGGCCTTGGGCTCAACCCACAGTACCAGAGGAAAAAGGGTTAACAGAATGAACAGGATGTAGGCCACATGTTCTTGGTCATTTCCAAACATCTATGGCTAAAAACTGAAGTTTCTGAAAACTATCCCAAAGGTGACAAACCCTAAACCAATTACCTACGATTTCCTCTTGCTTTCACTGCCTGTGGCCCCAGTAACCCACCTGGGTTATAGTGGTTTGGGAATCCCTTCTCCAATATCCAGGGCTCCTCCCCTTGCTCTATCTTGAAGATCACTTCTGGCTTAGCAATACAATACCCTGGCAAGAGAAAATAACAAGAGTGGGGTAAACAGCTCTTCTTTCCAAACACTGAAAAACTCAAGGGAAAGAAAAGTACAGTTTCAAGAGCTGCTCAAAGATACCTGAATAAACCAATCCCTTAGGAGGCAAGAACACACTCTGTAATAGCCACAAGGGATCTGTCATCTCAGAGCCTTGAATCTCAGGCTTTCAATCAGAAAAGTTAAGGGCATTCACTTTCAGGAACTAAAACTGCATGTGATGATTAGCCACATTAAAAAAACAATTCTTACCTACTGAGACAAGGTTACTGTAATTTTCCAGGATCACATCCCTGTATAGTATCTTCTGAGTGGGGTCCAGCAGACACCACTCTTCCTTAGTAAAGTCCACACACACATCCTTGAATGACACTTGCTCCTGAAAGAGAATGTCCCTTTTCTATGTGAAGAGGTCAGAATTAGACATAGAAGAGCTTCAACAGAACTAATGTTTCTAGAGTTTACTGAAAAAAGACAAATGGAATTGTTCCTTTTGTGCTACAGTATGTAAAACAATACAAAAATCTTAATACAAACTGAATTTCCACTGAGGGTCTGGATCTGTCATAGTTGCTACACACAGTGATACAACGAAAGCACGGTTTGTTTGGAAGTGCTTATGGCTGACCAGGACACACTCACATGATCATTTAGTAAGTGAGCACTGTAGAAGCAAAAGTGTTATCAGGTAACTTTCATGAGGAAGTAAAATTTGCAGTCATTAAGATAAATAATTGGATTAAAATGAACACGGTGCAGGCCCTGATCAAGGGAAACCCATGACTGGTTAAAGTTAACAGAGAAAAAGATCAATCTTCTCTGCTTGAAGAGATCATCTTCTGGGGTCACTATGAATTTTTGTTTGTTTTTAAGCACAGTATTCAGCCAGGCATGGTGGTGCACACCTATAATCCCAGTATTCAGGAGGCTGTGACAAGACTGCCATAAGTTCAAGGCCAGAGTGGACTATATAGCAAGACCTTGTCTCAAAACAAAACAACTAAAAACACAGTATTTGCCATCCAGTAAAAAATTTCATGTTATGTGAAATGGGAACCAAGAAAAAAGACAATAAAAGCACAGCCATGAGTGGCCCAAGTACTGGATTAACAAGAACCTGAAACTGAACTATGATTCAAGAGGAAAATATGAACAAAATAATTTCGGAAAATGTTCACCAGCTATACGGCATTTGTGTTGTGTAGGAAGCAAGCCTGACGGTCGACCTCTGAAAGGTATGCTGCAGGGGATCCGAAGGTGTGGATTTCAGGAGGGCACATACCTTGTCATTCCCTGATAAGAGCAGCCTACCACACCTGAGCTGTTTGTGCAAACAGTTTGGTTATGCTGAGTATGTACATTCCTTTCAGGAGCCTAGAATTTTGGTACACAGTAGGCAGACAGTACCTATGTGACTAGCCCCTGATAAAAACTTTTTGGGGGGTGCTGGGGAATGGAACTCAGGACCTTGTGCTTGCGAGGCAGGTGCCCGATAAAAACTTTGGGCAACAAGTGTCCATCAAGCTTCCCTGGTACACACCTCACATGTGTTGTCTCATCATTGGTGGAGGACTTAAGCATGTTTTGTAAGACTCCACAGGGAGAAGAATCTTAGTATCTCACTGATTTTGCTTTGTATTCTTTTATACTCTTATGTGTGACCATCTGCTGAATTACCCTAGGGAGTCTCTGAGCCTGGGGTGATCTCAGGAACCTCTTATGTACATAAACACACAAACACACACACACACACACAAAATGGGCATAGCACAGTTACAAAATACAATATCTGAAATTAGAGCTCACTAGATGGATTTGAAGCCAGATTATAGAAAGATGCAATCTGAAATCATATGCATCTAACCAAAAAGACTGTCAAAATACATAAGGCAAAATTGAAAGAAATGAAAGAACTTGTAATAGTACATGCCTATAATCCCACTACACTATGAGGCAGAGGCAGAAGGATCACAAGTTTGAGCACAGCCTGAATACCTTAGCGAGATTGTTTATCTCTGAATAAAAATAAAGGGCTGAAGATGTACCTCAGTGTGAAGGCCCTGGATTCAATCACCAATATTGCAAAAAAAAAAGTTTTTAAAATAAGAATGTGAAATGATACAGAATTTTGGAACAGTTGAGCAGTTGTGAAAGCTAAACTAAATTGTAAGTCATACCACAAAATCCACCAATTTCACACTCTAGGTATTTACTCATTTATAAACTTGGATCTATACTAAAACCTGCATGTGAAAGTTTCCAACAACTTAATTTATGATCAACAAACAGGAGCATGAGATGTAGCTCAGTGATAGAGTGCTTGTCCACCATACATAAAGGCTTGGATTTAATCCTGAGCCACAAAAAAAAAAAAGAAAGAAAAGGAAATACACACACACACACACACACACACACACGCAAAATCAACAAACACTAGAAGGAACCAAGAGCCTACAGGTTAACAACTCTAAAATTACTTATACATATATACTAAAAATGAACAATTAGGTAAACATAAGGTGGACAACGGTAGCAGACTTCTCTATCAAAGTGGAAGGTTACAGACAAGCAAAGGGAGAAGGCTAGAATGTGCCATTTGGTAAAGGGTTAGAGCAGCAGACACCAGAGTAAAATAATCCCAGAAGGAAAGTACTGAAAAAATAAATGGCTAAGAATTTTCCCAAACTTATAAAAGACATCACACTTCAAAATCAAAACCCCTGGTAAATAGAATGCAGCAAATCATCAAGAAGGTTATTTACCATGACCAAGTTGGATTCATCCCAGGGATGCAGGGATGGTTCAACATACATAAATCAATAAATGTAATATATTAACAGAGCCAAGGACAAAAACTGTATGATCCTTTCAATAGATGCAGAAAAAGAGTTTGACAAGGTCCAACACTTTTTCACGATAAAAACCCTACAGAAATCTGATAAAAGCCATCTATGACAAAGCAACAGCCAACATCATATTAAATGGACAAAAACTGAAAGCTTTCACTCTAAAATCAAGAACAAGACAAGGATGTCCACTGTCACCACTCTTGTTCAATATAGTTCTGGAAACCTTAGCCAGAGCAATTAGATAAGAAAAAAAGATAAAAGGAATAAGGATAAGAAAGGAAGAAGTTAAATTATCATTTGTGGATGACACGATACTCTACATAAAAAACCCCCAAAAGACTTTTAAATTTGATAACCAAATTCAATGGCACACTGGATTCAAAGTCAACACTCAAAAGTCAATAGCCTTCCTGAATACAAATAACAGACTCACGGAGATAGAAATTAGAGAAACGATCTCTTTCACAATAGCATCCAAAAAAATGAAATACCTAGGAATCAATCTAACAAAGAAAGTAAAAGTCCTCTACGTTGAATACTACAGTATTCTGAAAAAGGAGACTGAAGGGGATATCAGAAAATGGAAAGATATCCCTTGTTGTTGGATATGAGGAATCAATATAGTGAAAATGGCCAAACTTCCAAAATTGTTATACAGTCAATTCAATCCCAATCAAAATCCAAACAGCATGTCTCACAGAATTAGAGACCTAGAATATCAAAGGCAATTCGGGGCAACAAAGGCAAAGCAGAGGCTATCACAATCCCTGAATTTAAATTATACTACAAAAAAATAATAAATTATACTACAAAGCTATGGTGATTAAAAAAAAGCAAAACACCAGCATGGTACTGGCAAAAGAACAGACCTGAGGATCAATGAAACAGACTACAGGATGCAGAAACAACTCCAGACATACTCAACCACCTTATCTTTGACAAAGGAGCCAAACACCTTTACTGGAAGAAAGGCTGGAAAAACTGGCTTTCCACATGCCAAAGATTGAAACTAGACCCCATATCTTTCACCATACACTAACCTAAAATCAAAACAGATCAAAGATCTAAATATCAAACAGACACACTAAATCTGCTGGAAAAGAGAATAGGTAGAATGCTTGAGGACACAGGAGTAGGCAAAGACTTCACGAACAAAATGGAGACCACATGAGAACTACTACAAAGAATCAACAACTGGGACCTCATCTTATTAAAAAGTTTTTGCACAGCAAGAGAAACCACCAACAGAGTGAAGAGACAATTCACAGAGTGGGAAAAATTTTTACCAGCTACGCAGATAAAGGACTATTGTCTAGAATATATAAAGAACTAAAAAAAAACCAAAACAAACAATCCCCTCCAAATTGAAAGACCCAATGCAAAAATAGGCATCTGAAATAAAGATACTTCTCAGATGAAGAACTAGAAATGGCAAATACATGAAAAAATGTTCAACATCACTGATCATTTGAGAGACGCAAATTAAAACAATGTTGAGATTCCATGTAACTCAAGGAAGAATGGCTGCTATCAAGAAATCAACCAACAACAAATGCTAGAGGGGCTGTGGGGAAAAAGGAACCCTTCTCCACTGCTGGTGGGAGTGTAGACTGGTGCAACCACTGTGGAAATCAGTGTGGAGACTTCTCAAAGAACTAAAACTAGAGGCTTCTTTTGACCCAGTTACACCTTTTCTTGGTATCTTCTTGAAAGAATTAAAAACATCGTACCACAGCAAATATATGCGCACCCATGTTTATAGCAGCAGTTTGTAATAGCTAAATCTAGGAAACAGCCCAAAAGCCCATCAACTGATGAATGCATAAAGATGTGTTTTTTTTATATAATGGAGTACTACTCTGCCATAAGAATGATGAGCTTCAGACATTTATAGCTAAATGGATGGACCTTGAGATCATACTCCTTAAGTGAAATAAATTGGACACCTATGTTTATAAATACTGCCTTGTTTCTCTGGTGTGACAAACAATGTGGAAATAAGAACTGAGATGTATAATGGATGTTGGGAAATGGGAAGAAAGTATTCAAATGGGAAGGGGAACAAGGGAGGAGGGAGGGAGAAAGGAAGGAAGTAACAAGAAAAAAAATGAAAACAGAAGGAAAAAAATGGAAACAAAGTTTTGGACATAGGGAGGGGAGGGGACACGAGGGGGAAATGGAATAAAATAAAATTTTAAAATTAATGAAAAAAAAATAAAACCCCCTCAGAAATACAGTATAAATATGTACAAAGAAAACCAAACCAAGTTGTATCAAGTATCAACTCCTGGAAATGAAAAAAAAAGAAAATCTCATAGGCAGCCAGAGGAAAAAGACCAATTGTTTTCAAGGAGAAAGGCTTAAAATTGACTTCTCAAAATAAAAACAGACTCAGATGACATTGGGATGGTGTCTTTAAAGCATTAAAGGAGAAAAGAAAAAAAAAAGTCCAATCCAGAATTCTGTATTTAGTGAAAATATCCTTTCAAAAAAGAAGATATAGACGTCTTCAAACAAAAAATGCTGAGAAAATTTCTCACCACAAGACTGGCAGAAGAAGAAAAAGTAAAAGAGAAGTTCTTTGGACTGAAGGCAAATGGTCACAGAAAGTATGAAACCGCTAGAAGGCAGGACAAACACAGGAAAGGGCAACACCTAAGCAATTACAAAGCCTATGAACTCTCTAAAGCTGTATTATTCAAGATTCTCCTAGGGTTTAAAATACAGAAAAAGCAAAGTTAGTAACAGCACACAAGGAAGTCGTGTGTGGAATGATGTTATTACAATTTAACTGTGAAGTTCTTGCATACCAAGGTAAACTCTAAATGAATTAGAGATTTAAATATAAAATGCATAAGGGTATACATAAGCAGAGAATTTATCATCATGAAGTAAGGACTTTCTAACTATGCCTCCAAATGCTATAAAGTTGAACCAAATATTCTGTGGGAGAAGCTGTGGAGAAACACTCTCATGCACATCCACTAAAATCCATCAACTTCTGCGAATTCATGTGATAAACCTATCTGGTACATTCATGAATGTATAGAACATGAATAACCTGATGTGCATGTGTGTGTACAAGGTTGTTCATTCTAACAAGATTTGCAACAGCTAAAGGTTGGATATAACTCAGATACCTACATGAATTACCATGCAATTTTAACAAAGATCTGTGTTCTGTCACAGAAACTTCTGAGATGTGCTGTTACATTGAAAAAAGAACAGAAAACAATGTATAGGATTCTTTTCTCAGTAAGTGGTCCCTTGAGCAGATCTGACTTCATTTGGGAGCTTATTAGACTCAGAGGCCAGCGCTCCATCTACACTAAATCAGAATCTGCATGTTAACACAATGCCAGGGATGCACAGGTGCATCTAAGTTGAAGAAGTACTAAGGACAATGGATTCCCTCTTAAAGGGAGGGGACATATAAGAATACACACTCATGTTTAAACTAGATAAAGAGACGCTGCAAGGATAGATAAGAAACTATTAAAAACCTAAATACCCTATTGGGTATTTGGAGTGACCATACACTCCACTTTGGGGCTGTCCCAATATATGCCTGTTGTCCCAGAAAAAGTAACTCTAAGAATATCTTTCACGTTCAGTGAAAATATCTCTGGAGGATTAATAGCAACCTGCCCAGAAGGAGAAGCAAGAATGCAGAGTGCAAATTTTTGCATCTTTTGTATTACTTTTTCCACCCTCATTTGTAGAGATTTAAAAAAAAAATCATTTGCCTTCTTAAACATGTTAACACAGTATATTAATAATTCAAAAACATTTTATTTAAAAAAACACGAGGTGGAGGGGGTGAAGGGTGCACACGTAGTGGGGAAAAAAAGTAAGAACCAAGATACATCATGTACAGGTACAAGCACCCAATGATAAATGTAAATGTATTGTGTACCTAAAATGTGCCAATAAAAGAATTTAAGGGAAAAAAACAAACACACACATGAACTCTCTCAGTAAAGCAGAAGGGTAGTGGACCAAGAATGGAAACCCAGGTATAAACAATGTATGGGGCAAAAGAAAAAGTCATTTTACGAGGGCTAGACAGGAAATCAGAGTTAGGAACATAGCTCAGAACCCGTGTCAAACAGATTTTCAAAACAAAGACCATGCTCAATACTATCAAACGCCACTGAATGATGGAATGAAGCAAAACTCCACTGGCTTTGATCATGATTTGGTGGCCTTTTCTAGAACTGATTCAGGTGAGTGGAGGTGATGCGATAAGGCTGTATTTACCAGGTTGAAATGTAGAAACATAATCCAGAACTGCCTGCAATTCTACCTAGAAGCATAAACAAGCTGATACATTCAGAAGGGTTTTAAAGACTTATTGTCCCTCCATTCCTCCACATCTTCCAGGTCTTATTCCTGGGTCAAGTGGGACCATCCGAGTACAGTCTACTTAAACCTCAAAGCTTCATCTCTTCTGACTCTGTTTCTGCCTAGAAATGACTATAGAGGATATGTGCATTTATTTCAGGGCTGTTATTAGGAAGACCAGAGAAATTTTTACAATAACTTGGATAACCCTATAAAATTACAAATCCTATATCTAATTTGCCAAATACTTTCAAATTTGTTTTGTTTTGTATTGGTTTCACATCTCTTTTTATTAGTGCATACTGGCTCTACGGATTACTAAGTTTCATTTTGGCAAATTTCTACAGGCACCCAACACACTGATCATGTTCACCCCTGGCCCCTCACCTCCATCATTCCCTTAGCCAGCAGCCCCCCTAGTTTCACATTTGGGGGGTTCAATGCACATATTTTGAACATATCCTTTTTACCTGCCCTTACACTCCCCTCCTCTTGATTCCCTTTCTCTCGTTTATTAATAGCGGCCCTTCTAATTTTATCTTTTTTTTCTTTTGAGGCAGGGTCTCACTATGTAACTCAGGCTGGCCTCAAACTCAGTGATCCTCCTGTCTCAGCCTTACCAATGCTAGGATTACAGGCATGTGCCACCATGCCTGTTTCAGATTCAGTGTTAGGGAGAACGTTCATTATTTGTCTTTTTTTTTTTTTGGTACCGGGGATCGAACTTGGGACCTTGTGCTTGCGTGGCAGGCATCGGAACCACTGAGCTAAATCCCCAGCCCTATTATTTGTCTTTCTGAGACTGGCTTAGTTTGCACAACATGATGCTCTCCAGATCTATGTATTTTCCTGCAAATGACAAAATTTTGTTCTTTATAGTTAAATTCTGTATATATACCACTTTTCTTCGTCATCTGCTGCTGAGCACCTAGACTAGTTTGCCTATTTTTCCTTCCCACTTAAAAATACCAATCCTTATAAAGTGGAAGTAAACAACTTACCTGTGATTTGCTCATTTTCCGCTCTTAGTGGAGGAAGGAGAGCTGAGAGAGAAGGAAGGATGGATGTCAGGACAGATGTGGCCTGCCATGCAGCTCCTGGATTCACCTGCCTACACAGTTCCACACACAAGATACTTACGTGTCCATGCTGGCTCCGATATATGTTGAGCTTAGACATGATACTTTTCACTGAGGGAATGTAAACATTTGTTTCTTATTGATTTATTAGCAATTTAGGTTCTGTGACACAGAAAAATTAAAAACATAAAAAAGATGAGCTTAACAAGTAACAGTACTCTATAGGAGTAAATACTGTGGATTTGTCAAAACTGCTGTTGTAATGAAGAAAAACAAAAGCTCAGGCCATATTAATGTGCTAACACCATTAATCCCTTGAGGCCGAATGCTCCAAGAAACCTCTATAAAAAGGGACAGCAGTGTTTAAAACAAGATAAAGTTTATGAGATATTTGTCCGAACTTGCTTGCAGTTTCTCAAAAGGCTTTTCTAATCAGGCTAACTTTGATCAAGTCTCCTAATTTGCGCGATGGGAACCAGGCACCTCAAGACTGACTTTTTAATCTAAGCGAGGAGCGGCCGGTGGAGGAAGAAGGGCCCGCGAGGACCGGGACCGCGCCCCCGGGCCCGGCTCACCTCGCTCCTCGCTGGCTTCGAAGCGGTGTCACAGCGGGGTCGGCGCCAGCTCCTCACGGACGCCGCGGCCCGGGGGCGGTCAAAGCGCCGGCGGCCTGCCTAGGACCCGCCCGGAGCGTCGCGCACGCAGGAGACGCAGCCGCCGCAACCGAGGGAGCGAGAAGCGAGCGTGCTCAGGATAGCTGGTGATGGCGAGAGCGTCCGAAGGCCGCATGGTACGGGGTCGCCGAGGCTCCGCCAGGCCGCGGGCTCTGAGTATCCCATTCACGCCCAGCCGCGCCGCCCACAGCCCTGTCCCCTTGCGGTCGCACAGGCCCACACGTGACGTCACGCGCACGTCACGCACGGCGCGCCCTCTCGCGCCTGACCGCCCCACCCTCCGGTCCCGCGCACACACACTCTCCTCTCGTGCCCGCACAACAGCGCCGCAGCTCCGCAGGGCTGGGTGCGCGCGGACTCCCGAGCCCGGGAGCTGGCGTCCACGCGCGGACCCGAGGCTTCTCCCGGCAGAGTTCGGCCCGAGGCCGTTCCGGGCTCTGCTGACGCCTCTCTCTCCACGGGCCTGCCCCGCCGCTCTGCCCTTTCCGCCCCCAGCTCGAAGGCCCTAGACCCAGCCCCGCTCGCCCTCCCGCCTGGCTCACCCGCCGCTCCCTCACAGTGCGAACCCGGAGGGCGGGCGTGCTTTTCCACGAGGGACCTGGGGCCGCGGCGGACGTGCAGTGAGGCGGTGTGCGCATGCGCGAAGGGGCGGGGGCGGTGGTCCCCACGGCACGGAGTTCGGCGCGGGCGCGAGAGTCCCAGGGGTGCACGGAAGCGCTGCTTGCGGGCACCGGGCTCGGACCCTGCCCTGCCCTGGAGACACCCGGAGAGGGGCTACCTCCTTTGGGGTGCAGAGCTGCTGCTTCGGTCACCCCTGCACCTCCGAGCAGGAGACCAGCCGGGCTCAGATGTACTTCGGGAACGTGGAGTATTCAACTGACTTCAGCTAGAATATTATGCGGCCAGCGTGGTTGGTTATTCTCCAGAATTAGGAAAAAGACAAGTATTAATAATGTAGTGTTTAATAGGAAGAGAAGAGCCAGCGATGCCTGGGCAGCTTAGTGAGACCTTGTTTCAAAATAATAAAGGAAAATTTATATGCGACAAGCTCTTAACGAAAGCATCTTCTCATCCCTGGCAACCAACGGTACTTCACCTAGGACGTTCTCTTCTGTGCACATTATTCTAGCAATGGTAATGACTTACACCACCTTATTTGAAATTAAGTTTATTTTGCAGAATTGCCGTTTGCCCCGCCCCCTTTTGCCCAGCCCCCTTTTGCCCAGCGTTGTAACTTAATAAAACATTTTTAAATTACTGAACTTTAAAGTGCTGTGATCTTGACTACCATAGTGAAGTACTCCAGGGAAAAGGAGACAAAGGGAAAAATACTGGTTCCCCCACCCACCCCCTAGTGAGTAATCTTTCCTTAGTTTTCCAGAACTTGGAACACCTGGTGGTCATCAAGTAACATTGGAGTGCGTTGTATACCTAAAATGTACCAATAAAATTAACTTTTAAAAAATTGGAGTATGCGGACCGAGGATTTAGTTCAGTGGTTTCGCTGCCTGCTGCGCAAGCGCAAGGACTCGAGTTCGATCCCGGTACCCAAAAAAAAAAAAAAAAAAATTGGAGTACGTCCTAAGGACTTGCTAAAGTTCTCCAATTAAAGGAACAATAATGTTTAACGTGCATGAAAATCTAAAGACACGGGAAGGGGCGGGAAGAGATAAGGTCTTTTAAATTGGGACTGAAGAGAAAACATTGTAAGAATAACAGAAACCAACATCTGGTGGCTAGAAAGCTACTCAGCAGCACGTGACCCCTGTGGTGACTCCTAAAATCTTTTCTGTTCCAGAATTCTTTGAGATGGCTGTTAGGGCTCCGGTGCTTAAACTGGCTCAAAATAAAACCTGATTACCTTAGCACCAATTCTCACCTGCAAATATTGGCAGGCATATGGCTGGCAGAACCAAACTGTACTGTATACCGTGATCATACTAAGGCTGGATTGAAGAAGTAAAAAGCGGAAAGGTGACAAGGAAATTGGGATTTAAAAATTGTACTTTTAAGAAAAACTGCAGCTTCAGGACCAAAAGTTGATCCCTTTTCCCTTCCAGGAAACTCCCTCAAAAAGTTACTATAGGTCTTAAAGATACAGTAAGCCTGTAAATTGGGCTTTGGACCTGTAATTTTCACCTATAAATTGTGCTTTCTCCCTTTTCAAGGAAGCAGCAATAGTAGTGGGTAGCAGATCTCAACTTTAAACACTTGTAAATGGTTTCCAGTCTGACAGTGGGAATACACAACCTAGATCACCAGTCTTAAAAACCTTTAGGGCCAGGGATTTAGCTCAGTTGTTCTGTTGCTTGCCTTGCAAGCGCAAGGACCAGAGTTCGACCCCTGGTACCAAAAAACCCCACAAGAAACCCAAAAAAACTTTCAGATTCCAGGTCCAGCTCTTAATATGCCCTGATCATCTCTCCTTCTTCCTTTTCTCCCACTCTCCCCTGCAGTTTAGTTCTTTGACTTTCTTCCTGTGCCCCTTACTGATGCTTCCTGAAAATTGTTTTTCTGTAGCAGGAGTCAGGGAGCCTCCAGACATTCTGCTTAGGGTGGGTTAAATTCCTCATCTCAGCTTTGGGAATCTTCTCAGACCTAGCCTGACAATATGAGCATAGTGTTTTATGACTAATTTTTGACTTAAAATGTATCATGAATTCTTTCTGGTCAGTGTTATTGTAAGTTTTGTTTTATTTTGCAAACTAAAAATTGAACCCAGTGCCTTCCCATTGTGCTACATCTATAGTGACCCCTTCCACTTATTTTGAGACAGGGTCTTGCTAAGTCACCAAATTGCCTAGGCTAGTCTGAAAATTGTGATCCTCCTCCCTCAGCCTGCCAGAGCTTGGATCTTATTTCCCCCAAAATAAGACCTACCCAGAAAATAAACTTCACCTGTAATTAATAGCTGGTCATACCATGGTGATGGCCAGTGTCATGCAGATTATACCTCACTATTCTCTTGCTCAGTGGCTGCTCTGTAATGGCAGGTAAGGCAAGGATAAGCTGATTTGGGCTGGCATTTTTGATCTCTAGTTAGGTCTTATTTTCAGGGAAACACAGGATTACAGGCCTGCATCAGATTTAAGTAGACTTTCCAGGTTGTTGGTGTCCTGAGCAAAGAATTGGACAAGACATACAAAAAGGTAGCAAGGTTTTACATTTATTTAAGATAGGAAAAGAACGCTTTTCAGAGTGAAAGTAGGCCACTGAGAGAGTTTACCCTCATTCTTCAGGCTGACATCAGATCTAGGCCATCCTATCAAAAACTTGGTTGATTTCTCACCAGAAGAAGACAGCACTTTCTGATTGATCCCAGGTACAGGGCTGGGAACTGTTGTGTGTGAGTGTCCAGGATATCTGGGTATGTCAGGTCATGCTCACTTGCTCAGCCAGTTGGCTACACCCTAATCTCCTGCCTCATCACCATACCCAGCCTGAAATTGTTTTTAAATTTATATTTACAGAAGGGTCATCTAGTTAGTTCCCATGTAGTTTTCATCCAGATTCCACTAATGTTGGCCGTTTACATAAGCATGGCATGTTTATGAAAAGTGGGAAAGTAACATGGGTACAATACTATTTAGAAGGTATTCAGTATTTTACCTGCTTTTCCACTGATGGCCTTTTTCTGTTCCAGGAGCCAATGTCCAAGATACTATAGTATCTGTCTTCTTGGTATCCACCAACTGGTAACAGTTTCTTGACCTTTCCTTTCATGATCGTGAGATGTTTGAAGAATTGCAATCACATATTTCAAAAAATGTCCCTGAATTTAAGATTGGTGTGTTCTCATTTGACACATGTGAAATTTAGAATGCTACAGAGGGTGTCACCAGGAAGCTGGGTCCTAACTCCAGAAGACCCAGCAACACTTGCTCCTCTGTTCTTTGTGTCTGACAAGACACACAGGCATTGTGTAGAGTATAGGTAGGTAGAGTTTACTAGTATAGGTAGGCAAAGTGATTCTTAGTGCAGTAGAGAGAATATACTTTCATGCATGAAGATATGGAAGTGAATAGAGAGCAGATGTGCTGAATTCAAGCTCAGGCTACATTTATATGATTAAATGGGTCTTTTATGAAAAGCCATTTCCTTTCTTGAAGATCATTGTTCTTTTAGAAGGAAAATGGGCTGTTTTCACCAACTTTGGAAGGAATTAGATTCATGTTTACTCCCTAGGTTTCCATTTAGTTTGTTTTGAGACCTTAAGGTTTCCCCCAAACCCTTACTCATAGTCCGAATTTTGTATAGACTGTGGATCTTATCAGCATGCTCAGAGGAGGGTACATATTTGTGGGAAGCCAGATGTAAAGACCAAGGTCTGGGTTGAACTCTCCTTGAGACATGAGGGAGGAGATAGCGAGCCATCCCTTGCCACTGTTCACTGGCATGCCAGTGTCAGGCAGTTTCAGGGAGAGAACCAACTGAAGCTGAAATCTGATTAAAGAACATACACATTCGGGTGCAGTTCCTGGTGACAGCCTGCTGAACTCTCTGAACCCTGGATCACATGTTTGTTTGCTTGCTTCTTGTTTGTGCGAGCCTAATAAAAGTGAGGAACACTGTCAGTTTGGGGCTTTTTTGTCCAGTAGAGGCAAGAACCCCCTGGCTCTCTTCCAAACTGTTCTGTTTGCCCCCTGCGTCTGGATAAACTCGTAGGTTGGCTGCCTATACATATTCTTGGGCTTCTTTGGAATTTATAGTAAATGATTACAAAAAAAGAGAAAGGAAAAGTGTATCACCATTGCTTTTCATGTAGCCCCCAGCCACCTGTCTCCAGCCCAGCTAAAGTCTAAATTTCTGTCTAACAAAGGGTGTGTCCTTCCCATAGTGAAGTACTAGGGATCACATAATTTCAAAGTGACTTTTTTTGTGTGTGCTGGGAATTA